ATGGCAGTAAAAAAAGAATGCCTTCCATGGCAGTGAAAAAGTAATGTAATTATTTCTTCATGAAGATTTTTTCTAATTTTTCACACAGAAGTTAAATGTGCTTCGAATTTCTCGTGAAAAAAACCAGTACCCTAAAAGACATTCTTAGGCAACCACATTTTGCATGGTCCTTCTGGGTATCTGCAGTCAATGTACATGGCTACTGTTTAACTGCGTTTTAAATTGTATACAAACAAACACAACCAGTTTCGTCGGTCAGCAAATCAAATTTTTGCTAGTCGTAGAAAAATGTCCGGTTATACGTCCATAAAAAATGCATTCCATATTTCGATCTTTTAGCGTTCAATTTCTGCATCTAACGAATGTGACTAGTATTTTAACATGAACAAAGCACCAACATTTATATTAATCGAAGAATCAAAAAACAAAATTAATAGTTTAAGACTTTTAATGCCAAGAAGAGATGGCCTGTACTTGGAAGTTCGATTTGAGACACCAAAGTACATACATACACATACAAACATATATTGCATGCATGCAACGTACATACATATCGTCGTTTAAAGTGCAAAACCGCGTATCAACAAAATGCAAAACCGCGTATCAGCAAAATGCAAAACCGCGTATTTGAAGTTGTAGAAATTATTATGACGATACGCGGTTTTGTACTTTAAACGACGATATATGTATTCAAACATAAAGCAGCGTAAAGTAGTAGAAGCCACGAGTTGTATAGTTGTTAGTTAAGCCCGTCGGCATTCGGACAATATGCAATTAAACAATGATACTAGACTTAAACTTAAAATGCAACATTTTTAAGCTTACAACATTGTGATTATGCTTTATTGTAGAACAATACATATGCACATAACGCATTTTTTTTTTAAATCTGATATTCGGAAATTTTAGCAAATTTAAGCTAATTGCATTTTTTGGAAAAGTATGGAAACTACAAGTTCCTAACAAAAAGAAAACAACCAAAATGACTAGTTCAAATGCACACCACGGCAATCATTCTCTTTTACTCGAACTAAATTAGGCTTCACTTTATTTATGAAATCATTAAAAATGATGGCAATGTTAATGAATAAAAGTCAAGAGACTAATGGTGATTTCGTTTCTTCCAAAAAATGTTGCCCTCCCCCAGTGCGAAAAGTGTTTGATGTTACACTCAACCCTGTAAAAGGGCCTATTTTTGCTTTCCTTTTTTTGCTTTTCCTTGTCTAGTTCACGCATTTCATAATACTGTCGTTTTAAACAACGATCTGATTTTCAGGGCAGCCATCTCCCCTGACAAAGCTTCAAAGGGCTGAGATTATGCCTTTTTTGCCTTCCAAGAGTGTGACATTTTAAGAAACGACCACAAAATTTTCCCACCCATTTGCCTTTAATTTAGAATCGAATACGAAAAGAAGAAAAGGCAATCAAAAGGCGACATTTTTTGGTAGAAGCGAAATCACCATAATATTCAAATACTTTACTACACATTGTCAGAGTTTGCAAATCTACTTAATAAAAAGAATGCAATCTTCTCCTTGCCCTCTACGCACAAACACTTAGAAGAGGGCGATGAGAAGCCAACATTTTTGTAGAAACGAAATCGCCATTAATCTAAGCATTCACCGTCATAACGTTAGCTTATCGATATCCCTTTACAAGTAATATTTTTATTATAAATTTAAAATTTTGGTTTCGAGAGTTTACCTGTACTATTTTATGATATTCATTGTAATATGATTTTTATACACAAAATGATGTAAGTGGAGCATATACAGGCAGTGAATTCAACCCAAGCCTCTTTGAATCCAAATTGAAATTCACTAGGAAGTGAATTGCAGAACCTGCCTGATAGTACATTAAATATATATAATATATATAAATGTACTTATATTTAAATTATCCATAAATGCGTATGTAACGTGTTTGAATGAGGGGCTGCATGCATATTTTGAAATAAGAAAATAAATAAAATATTTGCATAAATATGTAGTAAACACATATTTTTCGCTCATAAAGTTTCTATTGCTGGCCGACCAAAGGTAAGTTAAAGTACGAAATCACACTAATACCCTTTATTCTTAAAAGGCGACCACTTCCATGGCTACAAGGGCGCTGATGGTGTGTAAGCGACTCGCGTTGAAGAGCCGGGGTACTCTGGCAACGGCAAGGCAGTCTCTCAACAAGATTACACGTCTGGTGTGTGTTTGCATCACGGGGCTATGCGCATATGTCCAACGGCAGCGCTGGAAGTAGTCCTTGAACTGGAGGCACTGCATATTACAATTGAACAGAAGGCGAAGCGAACTCCCTTAAACTTTACGGGACAGGGTTTTGGCAAAGGTAAGATCCTATCCTTCAGGAATAGGATATAATGCTGTTCCCCAGAGATGATATGCACAAGAGATTAACCTTCCTACGAAATATCGAAGGGAGAGGATACTTATACCAAGTGATAGTCAGGCGGCACTTATGGCTCTCTCATCCTTTGAGGTCAAACCCCCTTTGGTATTGGAGTGCATTGAGAAGCATAATGCCCTTGCTGAGCACAATACTATCAAACTAATATGGGTAGCAGGGCACATGGGTGTCGAAGTAAATGAAGAAGCTTATAAGCTAGCCAGGTTGGCTGGTGCCTCGACCCCCATAGGACCGCAGCCCTTCCTTGCAGTGGGTCCCAGTCAGGGTTGGCAATGTTTTAAGCAAGTATTAAAAACCTGGTTTAAAACAATGGGAAAAATCACCTATATTTAAAACAGGTTTTAAAACATTTTGTTTTTAAACTCGGTTAAAACATACATACAATAAAAAAACAGCATATAATTAATAGTTTTATTTGCAACATAATGCCCCCTATCGTCCGAAATTTTTTCAGAGGCCCGTAGTGAATACACGGAAACGAAAAGTTAACCGGGTCGGAGAAAATGAAACTCATAATAAGGTTGAATACATTTGAGTTTCATAAATTATACTTGCAATGGCAACTTTGAACTCGGAGATTTCCCAAACTACAAAAATTCCCAATAACAAAACGAAAGCATAGAAAATTAATGAATAAGGTATGGGCCTGTTCGAGACACCTAATAAAAGCGGCATTACCGACGTACTGTGTTTGCTCGGCCAAACACTAACATATGTGTAAGCGCCAATCTATTATATTATTATTATTACCGCCGTACTGATGAAAAATAGCAACATTGTTGCAACTGCCCCACTGATAATACATTGCTCGAAATTCACACAGATCTTGATACTTTAATAATTCGCGCAACACTGCGGCTGTGATTGCAACTCGAACAAGCCCTATATTTCACTATGGTACCGTGAGTACTAGCACAATCTCAATAATACACAAGACTACTGTTTTATTTATGTAACGTTCGTTTTAATGGTAAATATTATTATCAATTTCAATAGATATTTTGTGAGTTCCTCGATGGATTTGTTTTCTACCTACCCTTAATTTCGAATGTATGAAGTATTAAGTGTTTAAATATGTTTAAAACATGTAACTTAAAACATTTACGAAAAATTTGTTTAAGTCGAAACAATGCTTAAATATGTTAAATATGAAGAAGGGAGAGGTGGGGTCAGTTCGTAAATGCATTGCTGCGGCATTACTGCAAAATACTGTCCTCTTTATTTCTAAACTATATTTGATGGAAATGTGCAGTATGCGGAAATACGGTTAGATGCCGAATTGAAACTAAGTTGCGAAAATAAAACAATTCTAAGAACTATAGTTTATGAATTAAAAGAGTTCTTTGCAGTAATGCTGCGGGTTTTAGTTACGAAGTGGCCCGTGCTTAGGACATATATGTATGGCCAATAGAGAAGCACATACAGTCCCTGTCCCAGTAATCTATTCTAAAATACATAGCCTCTGGGGCTGGATTCAGTGTTGTGTAAGCTAAGGGCACAAGAGGTATACTGGTCGCAGTGCTTGCCCTACTCATATCTATCTATCTATCTGTACTAAAAAAGCTAATTTGAACATACAAAACCGCGACCGTTCCGCCGTTCAGAGTGTAAAATTGTAGGTCCCTCACCTTTTATTTACACACATAATGCATTTTAGTGCTTACTCTTCTTAATTGCCACTACTTCAATTTTGTCATTACTCTTACTAAGAGACTTCCGCTGTTTTTTGTGCTCCTTCAAAGTGGCATTATATTCTTTCTCTACTTCCTTTACAGCTTGAGCTGAGATTGTCCAATCGCAATTCCGATCATCTGATGCTTTTGTGGGATCTTCAGACACATCATAAACCGGTATTTCAACGCCTAAGCGTTTGCATACTTTTTCCAATATGTCATCTACATAGGTTGATATTCTTAAATCGGCATGTTTGTCCTGAAATATTCAATTAAAATATTAAATGGAAATTTCTAATGCGAATAATTAAATTTATTGCATACATGTTTCGTAGGCTGTAGATTACAAATAATGAGTTTTCCTCCATACTTTTTATTTTTCAGCGGTAAATTCCCACTTGGTATGATTTGAAGTGTTGTGCCCAATGTAATATTTACAGCGGCCAATCTAAAATATGTTAATATATTTATGTACATAGATATGTTGTTTTTAATATTGTATGTATATACATATGTACCTCATGCAAAGAATTAATTATATGTGCAATGTGTTTTGCCTTTATTTCTCTTTTTTAAATAATGGTAAAACTTTTTATGGCATAAAATTTTGATGGATGCCACTATCCAATTTCTACGTAGAATTGCTCGGTGATTGCGAAAATCGAGCTTTTTTTTAATCGATACGTTTTTGAGATATTTGCAATTTACCGTTTTTCGGCTTAAAACAAAAAGTGGTTCCACTTAATCACGTATATCTCACGAACTAACAATGAAGGAAAGGGAGGGATAAATACAGAAGTAATGAGTGGTCAACTCAAAATACGTAAACATTTTGTATGAAATATGAACAGAAAAGCGTTACTAAGGTTTACGTGGCGTATGAGTAACTTTCTTTCAAGCTAATTTTTCATGCAAACAATTTTTGCGTACTTTAATTTGACCAACCATTACTTCTTTATTTGTCCCTCGGTTTCTTTCATTTTTGGTTCGTAAGATATAAGTTGAGATAAGATAAGATTAAGTGAAACCCTACTGAAAAGGAAAGAAGAAATTTTAAACGAATAAATTCTATACAAAAACTATAATTGTTTTAACCATAACCGAACAATTGTTTGTGTATACATGCATTTGTCGGTGCTGTCAACTAAAATTTCCTAAATCAATTATGAAACAAAACAGAGTTGATCACAAATTGCTCCAGATTTTCAAACTTACGTGGAATGCATGAGAGCCATGTCTAAGTCCCGCTCTGGGAGATCAGCTTCCCAGTCAAGCACATTATCTAAAAGCAAGCCACCACGACATGCACGAACTCGTCCATCCTCACCGGAGCGACACCTGCCGCCACAAGGCTTTTGACCTACGGTCTCCGCCGCTGTTTTGCGCACGAATTGGCGCCTGCATTTGTTGCATTGATCCACAAACATATTGCCGTGCAGCTCAGCTAAGAGATGTCGTGATAACCCCGACTTCAAATGCAATCCATCGATGTTTTGACTGACAATGTATCGCACATAACCCTGCTGTGTTAGCGCTCGCAACGCCATATGTGTTTTTGTTGGTTTTGCGTGGTTAAAAGATACATTTATGGTAGGTTTTTCACCTTTTTCCTCCAATGTCCACACACCTTTCGGACCTCTGCAAAATCTTTAAACTCCCTTATTTGTAAGAAAAATAGTCTATCTCGCTTACCGGAAATCGGGTATTCCAGCGCTGGTGCTTACACCTGCGCCTGTATGTACTACGATACGTCCACGTCCGGCTAACATCCAATCTACTAGTTCGGCGCATTTCTTCTCGACTGTTTCGGGACTATCAAATTGCTATTTCAAAGAATGCAGACCTAGTAAATAGTTTCATATTAGATTTTAACCTACCTCTGGTAAACCTAAAATGCCTTTGTTTTCATATGGCGATAAACCATCCGCGTAATTGCAGCTCATGTTTTGCTTAAAGTAAAAATTAACCAGTGCTAAAGAGCTTTTTGCTACAATAAAAAAACGGAGGAAAATTTCTACCGAATTTTAAATAATGGCACCTTTTCTAGAGCTGTAGAATAAATAGTCGATGTTTTGATGGATTTGTTATTTTTGTCGCCATCGATAGTTTTCACACAATGGGCACAGTCACACGGTCAGTATTTATTGACGTGATCTATGTTACAATAATACAAAGTTAGATAATTATTGACAGCCGCGGTTTGACACTCCCTTACAAAAGGTTGCATTTACGAAGGACGGAGAAAGGGGAAGAATGAAATCCCTGGATGCGAAAATGGTAGTAGGAAAGAACGCAAAGTAGGCACTTAGTAGGGAAATTCCTTTTGTAAATTCTAATGGATTTGCAAGAAATCTGGCATTTTAAACGAAATGTTGTCCGTTATATTGATACATCTACGTGAATTACGTAATTTATGTGCTATTTAGCTGTATAAAAACTGCAAAATGACTCAAAATTAAAATAAGACTACTATGAGATTGATGTAAACATCCAATTTAAAAAAAGTTTATGTTTTCACCAGTTAAATATGCTTATACTTCTATTTCACAACAAAGCTACACTGTTTCCATGTAAATTTGCAAAGAAGCAACACGGTGCCACTGCTAAGGGAGCGGTGCGAGAGAGACAACTGTCAGTTTATCGAACCTTCTATTATTGAATCATGACGTGATCCAAGTATCGCGATATTTATTGACGGTGTAGCATGCAGTATTGATGGATCGTAATACATATCGCAAAATTTCTAAAAATTTTGAAATCTGGATCGCGGATCGCAATACCGTCAATAAATATTGAACGTCTAGCACTTTCAAAACGCGATCCGTACATTTCGTCAGTATATCTTTTACTCTCATAATGCGAATATCGAAAACGTATTCGCTCTGCCTTCGCTCTAGGTGCTTAAAACCATTCAAAACAAATTGAAAAAATTATAATTAACATTGGAAATTTTAAAAGAATTATGCATTCCGCATTATCTGTAAATTATTCGTACAAAATAAAAATATTTTCTTGCGTCATAATAAGCGTGCAGCACAAAAATGATGAAAATACTGACGAGATAAATATCGAACATGTAGCATTTGTGCGCGATCCATCAATCTATCAATATGGATCGCGATCCAAATATCGTGATAATTACTCATGAACGAAAGACACAAGATCACGCGGGAAGGAAAGAACGAAAAAAGTTATTTTCTAGCTGCCGAAATCTCGACGCC